TAGCACAAATTTTCAGCATGCGTGTTGAATTTATAATGCATATAGTTTCCAGTTTACAGATCATATCATGATGAAACGACTTGGAAAAAATCCCTAACTCATGCCTCTATCACTTTCATGAAGAACATTCAGGCGGATAAAGTCATTTAAAGGCACATAATACAACAAACATCCAAAACATGGGTGCAGTGGATAAATAGAGATATGCAGCTTGACAGGTTCTCAGTGTATGCACAATAATCGAAGCTACAGACATGATATTAGTGAAATTCAAAAAAACCCCAAGGTAGCTAACTCAGTTCTCTACAACCTCTTTGAAGACCCCATTGGCAAATTATAATATTATCAACAAGTTCGAATATAAAACATTTAGTTTGCAAATACAGTCAGAGAATAATTTTTCGAAAATACAGCACCTTAGTAAAATAGCAACAACTCAAGCTACATAACTCCAACTCATACAAACTCAAAACCTATATAATCTAAACATGGAAATATACAAATTTCATGAAGAAGACTGTTTCATAAGAACACGTTTAGGTCAACTAAACAGAGTACACATTCAACACTTAAACAAAATTTTGGTTTCATAAAAACTTGATGCACATTCCACTTAGAAAAATTATATAAAATCAACTGGAACTCCAAATCATATAAACTAAAAACCTACAGAAACTACACAAGGAAAGCTACAAATGTCATGAAGAGAATATTTACATATCATCACGTTAAAGGCATCAATTCAGAGCATACATTTCATGCATACACACAGCCACTGTTTCAAAATCCTGGGCATAAATCCAACTTAGAAAAATCATATAAAATCAACTAAAATTCCAAATTCCATAATTCCAATTCCTACGGACTACTTATATCATATACTACATTTTTCATGAAGAACACATTTCCATTCAGGCATGTTAAGATCATCATAAATAGCCATGAACTAAAATCAAATCCTGCCCGAGTTTATCAAAACAGCATGCTTGTCCAACTTTGAAAAATCATAACAATTTCATTTTAACCCCAAATCACAAAATTCTAAAACTCACAGAAACTTCATTCAGAGAACTACAAATCTCATGAAGAACACTTGTCCAAGAAACATCATCTTGTTTGAGAAAAATAGAGCCTAACTGAAGCTCGAAAATTGAATTTTCATGCCTTCATCAACTCAAAATGATCACACAACAACATAGCCTCGAGATCACGTAAGTTACACGTTAAGCAAGCCTCAATATCAATACTTTAAGACTTAAGAATTTGATATATCATCAAACACATTGTCCGAGGTCCAACTCGGTCTTATTAAACAAGATAGAAAAATAAAGTCCTATGCCTTTCACTTAGATTATTACATCTTTTGGTTTGATAATATATAACAATTCACATTAATACATAAATTTAACCTCAATCATCGAAGATCACATATACATCACATGAACCCGACCAAACCTATCATGATATAAACGAGACTCTCAACCTGATACACTTATCTCATCATATCACAAGTTTCGAGAGGTGTTTCTAGCTTTTAACCGAAACACGCAAACATGCTAGAGCATCAAATAAACACATATCCTTATCTCTTGCCCATCTAATCATGCTTCGAGCTAGCATGAACTCACCCTTACTAAGGCACAATAGACATTAAACACATAACACACCAGAGGTGGAACATAGGCCATGAACATCCATAAAAATGGCAGCCTATAAGATATTGACTCATATCATAATTTTCGAAGCCTGACAAAGGTCCGAAAAGGGCGAATACATTCCCGATTCTCATTGACCGGGTCCTCACTTGAAGACATTGAATATAATTATATAGCAAGGGAAACTACTATGGGCATAACTTATCTCGATAACAACAAACTGAACCTCATAGCGAGGAACCTCTAGAGTCCGAACTTAACTCTATATCACTAGAGTTCAACATCAAACACTAGAGTTCGAATTTAAAACGAAGGTGGATAAATCCTAAGCCCCAAATTTCAACATTTCATATATAAGCAGTCTTATTACTACTTAAGCAAGAATACAATATCACATCTTCACATTAAAAGTATTTCTCGGTACTTATTTAAACACGTACCTTAAGCAGCGCGGCGTGACGAAGACGAGTGGTCATATTTCAAAATCTAAATACTTAACCATATCTAAACCAGTCTACAGAAACGCAGACTGCCTCTGATACCAAACTGTAACGCCCCAATCGATTTTTAAAGAAAATCCATGGCTTTTCCAAAAATCAAGGTAAAAATTTTTGAAACTTATTTTTCGAATCATAAATTTTTGACGTTACTCATTCCTTTCATAAATACAGTTCAAGTCATAACTGAACTACGGGGATTCATTACCCGATTTTTCAACGATTTTCATTAGCCACATAAATCGATAAATTTAACATCAGATCATACTCAATCAGATATCAAGTAGGGTTTTCATCGTAAACCAAATCCGAAAGTTGTCCAAAATGAACAAGTTCAAAATCCAATCCAAACAAGTTCAATACCATCATAGTTCAAAAATAAGCGGAAGCAATTTAATAAGCATAATAAATAAGCATGATAAGCAATGACCACCGCCCGTCTTGTCTCGTCACGCGCCACTGCTTAACCTGCATCAGTTACGAGCAGGTGGGAGTGAGTACAGTTAACTATCGTACTCACACTATGCAATGCACATTTATAATATGTCAAATTGGCATGGTCGCAGCATGAACACAAACAATACACATATGTCACATCTCCATCATAACATAAATACTCCTGTGTACACATCTTTCATAATAGTCGCGGAAAGGGGATTCATTACCCTAACGGCGAGAGTACGTGCCACGCAAGGACACGGCCTTTCATAATAGGTCTTAAGGAGACTTGCCTCATAAAGCAACCGTATTACATCGACGGGGACAACCGTATCGATGGCCATCATAATAGCTCACATCGATAGGCTACATATTCACGTTCATACATAGATCACGCCAAAACGGAAAACACATATTTAAACACACATTGCACAGATAATTTTAAAATAACAACCCACCTGGATTTCGGATTGATGATAACGCAAAGCAATGGAAGTAGGTCGAGGTTTGACTCCTCAAACACCTACATTATGTTAAGATCCTACAATCAATATCTTGACTTAATCGGAAAACACAAAACAAACCTAGTCGAACTTGTTTCGACTAAGTAGTTCGTGAAGTCCTGTGGACGTTGGAACACTTAGACTCGGCACTAAACTCGACCAAAACACATAAGGGAGTTCATTTAAATCCATCTAAGGATTGACCAAGTCAAACTCACATCAAAACAAAAAGCAAGCCGATTCCCAACTTTTCATTTCAAAATCGTGTTTCGAAAATAGTAATCATTAATCACATGAAAAATAGATGGTCAAGCTACCCTATGACTTAAGCTCTGAAATTTTACACAAAATTACATCTTCCAGAAATAAGTAGAACCATAAATTTTCAGCTTTAAAATCAAAGCACATTAATTTACAAAATTCCTACGAGAAATCAGCAAAAACACACATGAATTCATATCCGAACCAAATGAACGATTCAGGACTTGAAAATTTAACACAACAAGCTACAGCATGATAGAGACAACATGTAAAAATCTCAGCCCTGGACATTAACTGTGATAATTTTAAAAATTCATGCAAGATTCTGCAGTTATCGAATTTAAATCAGAACAAGACTAAAATGAACTCCAAAACTTCCCATCTTTTACACACATGATTCAACACATAAAATAGGCCTCTCAGTAAAATTTCAGAATTTTTCATGTAGTAACCAATTTATAAAAATTCAAACAACGCTTTAGCAGATTCGATAAATAAATTATTAGCCACATCAAATCAAGTCCAAATATTCTAAGAATTAAACACAACATATAAATGTCACAGAGGCATGACATACTCGAATTCCAGTTCATTTCATTCACGAATGAATTTTTTATGCATTTAATACTATTCTTCTCAGATTTACATTTTAATTATTAAAAATAGCTACAGGCCTCTAAAAATTATGAAATTTTTACACAAGGCTGGTAATGAACAGATAACATATCCCTCAAATTTGCAAGTCATTCCGATCGGTGTGCGATTTTTAAAAATTCAAACACCAAAACAGCGATTCAAATGCTCGACAACTTAGGAATTAATTCACAACATAAAATTTCTCGTCCGAGGCCTTTTCATAAGACCAAGGGTTTGACATTGTTCCAATATCCACCGACTTACACAACTTTCGAGGTCTCGTTCGATTCTTGAGAAAATCGAAGAGGTCCCGAACATACGAACACATAAAATCATATCTTTCACCAAATATCATATCGAACACAATCGCACAATATACACATCTCGCAAATCAAATCGCAAATCACACATATCACGACGTTTAAACACGCTAAGCAATTAACATAAAAACGATTTAAACGAGACGAGATCGACTAGGTACCGTTCTCGGGAAAACTTGGAAAACGGAACGAAAGAGAAGGCGAGCTAGCGGCAAGCTCGACGGCAAGCGTGGGTCGTCGCTGCTGCTGGTCTCGGCCGAAGGTTGCTGCTCGTCGGGATGGTCACCGGAATCACATGTTCACGGCGAGGGGAGCGTTGAGGTTGCTGCTGGCTCACTTCCGGCGAGAGGAGATGGCGTCGGGGCTGACAGGTCGTTGGAAAGGTTCACGGGCAGAGGGAGTTCTCGTCGTCTGGGCTCACGGAGTGACCAAACCCGCCGGAAATAACATAAACAGAGGGTCGCCGGAAATATCACGAACAGAGGGAAGCCACGCCGGCGATGATGGCGTCTCCCGAACTGAACGGCGGCGGGATGATGGCGAGATGACGACAGACTGAACGAGAGGTTGATGATGGCGATGAGATGATCAGACAGCGATGATGGGTGGAGGACGACGGAACTGATGGTGATGATCGGGAAAAACAGAGAACGAACTAGAAGAGCAAGAGAGAGAGAGAGAGAGAGAGAGATGAAGTTACGATCGGTAATTCTCCACAGAAACGTGCGCGAGATTTTGCCAGATAAATAGGTCGGGAACTGAGAGAAGAAATCAGATTTGAGGGAAAAAGCTGCGTGAAGTGAAAATTTGACAAGGAAGAAAACAAATAGATACAAGTTGTATATATATATATGCACAATGATTAGGGTTGAGTATTTTTGATTGCCAAGAAAAATCCCACACGACTCTCACGCGTGAAAGAAAAAGGAGGAAAAAAAATAATCTATCGGGCCGGGTCGCGGGCTTAAGTAGCCGGGCTTGGTTCAAACGCATACGTTTCTCTCGGGCTCAAAATTCACGATTTATTTAGCCAAAATAAAATTGTCTGATTCGCTCGATAATTTAAAATAAAATTCGGGTATTATTATAAATATTATTCACACATTATTTATAATAATAATAATACACATTAAGCATTTATTTTACATTTAGACAATTAAATAAAATAATAATAACAATAATAAAAATAATAATAATAATAATAATAATAATAATGGCAATATTATTAAATAAAATCTCAATTATTCCATAAATGAACGTGGCGCTACATTAGCCGACTCCAAATTTTGCCAAACCTTTAATCCATGAGATGTCCATACCCATCGAAATTAACTCTGCATACGGTAAGTGTTTTGATATTTTTCGTACCGAGCTATGCTGACTTGTTATGTTTTCTGTACTAACAGGTCAACAATTTTATTTGCAGCCCGAAGAACTAAGGAACCAAAACTCGGGGCGGTGTTGAAGAGCAGAATTATCGAGTTGTTCAAATTGACAAAGGAGCAGCGTAACTTCAAACTTCTGCTGAAGAACTCCCGGTTGGAGGGAACCAACCTTTGTTCTAGTGTTGGATTCGTTCTTTCAGCCAGGTATTTTCTGATTGTATATTCTTTATTCGTTGCTTGAAGTTTGAAAATCACGCGAATAATTCTAACTTGTTTAATTTTCAATGTAGTGTACTACCCGCTTCTCGGTGTTCTTGGTTTTAGCAACATCCAAGACGCAAAGAAGTTTCATCAACAGTGCCCAAATCTTGGGCTTCCGACTAAAGTCAGTAAGAGCAAGGAACATCGTTTATCTGAAATGGGTCGCAAGAAGCTTGTGAAGTCCTTTTTGGAGAATCCAATCATGAACTCGAAGATTGCCGACGTCGGTAATGGTGCGACGTCGGGGGCAGCAGTTGAAGTTGTACAGCCAAACCCGTTGGCGATAGCAGCGACTGGTCCAATTGCCGCTATAGCTACTGCTGTTACTGGTTCGTCTAGAGCAGAACCAGCCATCGAAGTCGCTCAACCAGAGGCCCCACCAGTTATAGAAGTTGTCTCTGACGAGCCTGAAGGTGACCGAGAAGCGGTCGAGGAGCGAGAGGTTCCGTTGACCCGACAAAGGAAGAGGCGTGCATAAAGTGTCCCAATCATTGAGGGACGGTATAAAAAGAAGCACGATGTCGGTCAGCGGGAGAAGAAGAAGAAGGAGCCACTGGTTGATCGGTCCTTCTTACCTATTGACGAAGAGAGGGCAATGAATTTTAGGCAGCCTCGGGAGTCGGTCGAGAAATGGTTCTCGACTTTTGAGTCGGTAGAGATTCCCCAGATCTCAAATACGGTTGAGCTGCCAAGCCATGTTGTTGATGTTGCTCGGGTCCCTATGATGGTGTGTGATCCGAGAGAAGAGATTGGTGTGTCCTTGTTGCCGAGTGCTTACAAATTCAAGTATGCAAAGGCTTGCCTCGGCCGAGCTCTAATCAGTTTAGATCTGGCCGAGGATGATTTCTGACTAAACGCGGCACAAGTAGAGGAGAAGAAACACACACTGGAACTCAGAGATGGAGCCATTGCATCTCTGAAGGAGGAAGCAGCCAACAAAGAGGCTGCTTTGAAGGTGAAGATTGCTGAGCAAGATCAGCAACTTTTGATTGCTCAAGGTAAAATCAAGGCTCTGAAAGCCGAGAAGGCTGGTCTTGATTCCGACATGCTCAAACTATCTAATCAAGTGTTTACATCTGAGCAACGTGTGAAAATTCTAGAAGATCAACTTGCTCGGTGCCAATCAATGCTTTGCAAAGAACAAGAAGCTCATGAGCTTACTCGGAAGAGTCGCTCCGAGGTTGAGGAACTGCTTGTGAAGAGTCGTGATGCCCATCGTTCCGATCTCAGCAGACTTGAAGAAGAGAAGATCAAGTTTGCTGAGCTGAAATATAAAGATGGTGTCCAAGCTGGAAGGAGTCTTGAGGTGGAAGCTATCAGAATGAAAGCGAAAGTTGAATCCGACTCTGAAGACAAAGACCGGGAGTTGGAAATGAACACCTGTATTAATCTTCGCTGGGTAATTGAGCGATTTGATGAGGGTCTATATGACATTGAGGAGCTATGTCATTATCTTCTCCACAAGATCAAGAGACATAACTTTAATCCCTCAATTGCAACTGCTCATATTAATGCTGACGAGGATGAGAAAGACTTTTGTGAATGGCTCCTCGTTACAGCTGGTGAAGAGTTGGGGACTCCTCACGTTCCTTCTTTGAGCCGGGAAAGAGATGCTCGTCTTCGTCGGTCTTTTGTGAACATGCTGTTGGAGACCGAAAAGTAGAAGAGAGCTGAGCTTGCCAATGTCTATGTGAAGACCCTTGCTGAAGTGAACATAGAGGAAGAGATTGAAAAGATGACTCCCCATCAACTTCGAAAGGCAGTGTTAACATTCCTCGAAAGGAAAGTCTCGGAGTTATCTCGAGGAGTTGAACAATTAGCGGCCACCGAAGCGTGCGAGATTACTGAACATGACCCAATTCTTGATGAGCGTATCCCGGTGACTCTTACAGAAGTTGAAAACGCCGCTAAGGTCGAAGAAGATCATGTTTTTGAGATCATCAGCTGGATTATGTACAAGCAGATTACAGGAGAAGATGTTGAAGACACAATAAGAGCTGAGAAGACTAAAGAAACCAGCGATGTTCAAATAAGTGTCGGAACTCCGAAGGAAGATGAAGTGGGTCCTTCCGAAAAAACCGATGACGCTGGAATATAGGCTTAATCTTCTGTCTTTTTGTTTTGTTAAAGTGTTCCGACATGTTTGGATACTTTATTTTTATTTTTCTCCGTAGTTGTAATAGTTTCTGAAAAAACAATGTTTTATTATGAATGAATAGCTTTTGTTTATATCTACTTTCATTCATAATTGTACAAGTGTATTGAACTCGGAATAAGTATATCAATGGTTTAACTTTTAACTCGGGTTTTTTAATATTATCTGACTTAAGTTTTGAAGGTGTCGGATCTAAACTGAGATTCATGACCAAGTTAAAGTATAACTAAATTGGAATACATACTCAGTTTCTGAGTATGTCGGTATTTTTATTTCCGACCATTATATTCAGCATGTCAATTTCATTTTTGCTGAATATTTCTGAGTATTGAAATATCGGCAAAGTGTAATTTTTAGGAATGGGCTTCATCAACTTAATTTTATTATAAGTTGATAGAGAATGAAATTTTTCCTTATTCAAATCAACTTCAGGATTCGATCTTAAAGGTATTAGTCCATTAATTTTAAGTATGCCCTTAACGTCTCTAAGTTTTTGAACTTAGTGTTTCGAAGGTTAATACTTTGGCCGAAAAGGTATGTCTTACCGAGTTATTCAGCTCGGTTAAGATCAAGACTATCCTTTAATTTTTAAGTTTAGATATTAGACTTGTCCAAGTAGAAAGGCTTGGCCACATAAAGACTAACATCATACCGAGTTAGAGTACTCGGTTCAAATTTTAAGCGACTCAAAAGCACACAAATTTTGTTATGTTCATCAAAAGAGTATACAGAGTCATATATACATTATCAACAGTAACTGGAAATATTTCTTCAGATACACAGCTTTCCAGGGATATTGAAGAGAGACTTCATCTGGTTTTTCAAGACGATAAGTACCTTTTGGAAGTACTTGACTTACCTTGAAAGGTCCCTCCCATTTCGGTTAAGGCCCCGGATCTGGTCCAGTTATTCTTTTAAGTATAAGGTCTCCAACTCGGAATGAGCGAGGCTTCATCTTCAAGTTGATATACCGTTCACTTCTTCGTTTATAGGCAGCATTCTTGAGATCGGTCATCAAGCGAGTTTCATCTATGAGATCTAGATTACCTTTCAAATTTTCCAAGTTGGCCTTATCGTGAAAATGTGTTACTCGGTATGTCGGAGATCCGAGTTCAACAGGGACAATGGCTTCCGACCCATAAGTTAGGGAAAAAGGTGTTTCCCCTGTTGTGTGGCAAAGTGTTGTTCTATATGCCCATAACACATTCAGCAATTCCTCGGGCCAAGTCCCTTTTGCGGCATCAAGTCGGGTTTTCAGTCCGTTTTTAATTATCTTGTTAATTACCTCGACTTGTCCATTGGAATGAGGATGATACTGTGAATAGAAAAAGTGTTTAATCTGATAATCTTCACAGAAAGTCTCAAGTAGTTTCCCTTCAAATTGTCGACCGTTGTCGGTTATAATGGAATTTGGTATACCAAACCGACATATGATTGATTTCCAAATAAAACCGACAACTTTCTGTTCAATAATTGTTGCTAATGGTTCGACCCCAGCCCATTTTGTGAAATAATCGACTGCAACTATGGCGAATCTTACACCTCCTTTTCCAGTTGGAAGTGGGCCAATTAAGTCAATCCCCCATCTGGAAAACGGCCATGGGCTATATATTGACTTGAGAGATTCTGGAGACTGATTCACATTGGGCACGAATATCTGACATTTCGTGCATTTGCAAACCCAATTCATTGCATCCATCTTCAAAGTTGGCCAATAATATCCTTGTCGAAGTATTTTATAAGCTAATGCTCGTGCACCGTTATGTTTTCCACAAATGCCTTCATGAACTTCTTCAAAGACGTACTTTGACTCTTGCTCGGTTAAACATTTTAGTAAGGGAACGGAGTATCCCTTTTATAAAGGGTTCCATTATCTAATGTAAACCGAGCTGCTCGAATTCAAA